TCTTGGAGGGTCTGGGGGGCTGCCCCCCCCCCCAGATTTTTTTTAATTTAATGCTACGAAATTGAAACATGGACCATTTTAACTACAAGTACTGCACACACACGCGCGCAACGTAATGTATTGAATTAAAAGAAGCACGTTTTAATACTTAATTTGTAGCTACACATACCTTGAGAAAGTGGTCAGGCCATGGCCTGATTGGCCTTACCGCTTCCTACGGCCCTGTTGCTGATACAGAGAAATCAAAACGTAGATGAAACCGATATCCTCGAGGTAATCTTCCTTCTTCTGGGTTTAATGGTTATGTCTAGGAAGTGAAAAGTGTGACAGTTAACTGATCTTCAAATAAGTTCTTTACAAGAAGACACGTATAACGTGCACACAACTAATGACATCACGATAACGGTCTTTACAATAACACATGTATAACGTGCACATAACTAATGACATCACGATAACGGTCTTTACAATAACACATGTATAACGTGCACATAACTAATGACATCACGATAACGGTCTTTACAAGAAGATACGTATAACGTGCACATAACTAATGACATCACGATAACGGTCTTTACAATAACACATGTATAACGTGCACATAACTAATGACATCACGATAACGGTCTTTACAAGAAGACATATATAACGTGCACATAACTAATGACATCACGATTTTTGGAACTGGTTTAAGGAATAGTTTTAAAATGTTTGTTTGTTTAACTTGGTATGATGTATGATAGAAGCTGAACTCAACTGATTAAAGAACTCTGAAGTGATACATAGAATATACGATTCAATACACACTGAATTGTATACATCGATTAACAAACACATTCTAACATGCCGTTATCGTGATGTCATTAGTTATGTGCACGTTATACGTGTCTTCTTGTAAAGACCGTTATCGTGATGTCATTAGTTATGTGCACGTTATACGTGTCTTCTTGTAAAGACCGTTATCGTGATGTCATTAGTTGTGTGCACGTTATACGTGTCTTCTTGTAAAGACCGTTATCGTGATGTCATTAGTTATGTGCACGTTATACGTGTCTTCTTGTAAAGACCGTTTTAAAGACTTTTCTTCACATTTCCCACCTTTGGTTCCATACAATTATGTAAAGTGATGGTGGCGATAGAACAAATGTTAGAAACCAAACAAGCCCGTCACCCCCACCCAGTAAATGTGAAGCCGCATAGCGCTAAAAACTGGATTTCGATACCCACGATGGGCACAGCACAGATAGTCCATTCTGTAGCTTCGTGCTTAACAATAATAATAATCAACATAGCAATTCGGTTTAATCTGTCAATAACCTTCGCACAAATGACCTGGATAAGCTTATCAGTTCCTTGATCCGGACGTTATCCAGCCTGGATAAGCTTATCAGTTCCTTGATCTGGAAACTCTCCATCCTGGATAAGCTTATCAGTTCCTTGATCCGGACGTTATCCAACCTGGATAAGCTTATCAGTTCCTTGATCTGGACATTGTCCAGCCTGGATAAGTTTATCAGTTCCTTGATCCGGACGTTATCCAGCCTGGATAAGCTTATCAGTTCCTTGATCCGGACACCATGCAGCCTGGATAAGTTCATCAATTCTTTGATCCGGACACCATCCAGCCTGGATAACGTAGAAGATGAAGTAATTCACATAGTTTGAAGCAGAAAATACGAGTTTCAACATTGAACTAGAACGTGCACCATTAAAGAGCTTGGTTGGACCTTTGTCGAGATCTCCAGCAACAATACTTAGTGTTTGTACTATTTACATACTAGTGATCGATGGGGTCATATCTGTAGAGCCGGAAGTGACCAATATGTTTAAATGTGAATGTTTGGATGATAGTTTACGTATTCTATGTAAAGCCATTGCTATGATCAGATCTTGTTGTGCTTCTAGGGGCAGAGTTGCTTGAGTTGATGTGGTATTGTACTCAGCTGTACGACCTTTCGGGAGTGTGATCTCAAGTTAATCCTTCGTTTATCTGGATATTTATTGATTTCTTAGTTGTGTAACGACATCTCAAGTTAATCCTTCGTTTATCTGGATATTTATTGATTTCTTAGTTGTGTAACGACATCTCAAGTTAATCCTTCGTTTATCTGGATATTTATTGATTTCTTAGTTGTGTAACGACATCTCAAGTTAATCCTTGTTTATCTGGATATTTATTGATTACTTAGTTGTGTAACAACATCTTAAGTTAATCCTATGTTTATCTGGATATTTATTGATTTCTTAGTTGTGTAACGACATCTCAAGCTAATCCTATGTTTATCTGGATATTTATTGATTTCTTAGTTGTGTAACGACATCTCAAGCTAATCCTATGTTTATCTGGATATTTATTGATTTCTTAGTCGTGTAACGACATCCCAAGCTAATCGTTCGTTTATCTGGATATTTATTGATTTCTTAGTTGTGTAACGACAGTCAAGTTAATCCTATGTTTATCTGGATATTTATTGATTACTTAGTTGTGTAACGACATCTCAAGTTAATCCTATGTTTATCTGGATACTTATTGATTACTTAGTCGTGTAACGACATCTCAAGTTAATCCCATGTTTATCTGGATATTTATTGATTACTTAGTCGTGTAACGACATCTCAAGTTAATCCCATGTTTATCTGGATACTTATTGATTACTTAGTTGTGTAACGACATCTCAAGTTAATCCTATGTTTATCTGGATACTTATTGATTACTTAGTCGTGTAACGACATCTCAAGTTAATCCCATGTTTATCTGGATATTTATTGATTACTTAGTCGTGTAACGACATCTCAAGTTAATCCCATGTTTATCTGGATATTTATTGATTACTTAGTTGTGTAACGACATCCCAAGCTAATCCTTCGTTTATCTGGATATTTATTGATTTCTTAGTTGTGTAACGACGTTAACTTCGTCGTTGACTACTTTAGACAAAGCTCGTATAATGTTTGCTCTTCACGACAAAACAAAATGAAAAAGTTATTCTCTTCTGTCATGTGGTGGTGATAATGAAAGAACCAAGAAAACAATGTTTTGGAAGCAGTACCTTTATAAACTTTTACGGATACAATCATTACAAGTACAGATAATCACTACGGTACTGAAAATAATGGATTTGAAGAAGGATCTATAAGCTTTAGCTTAAGTTAACACATTTTAACTCTTCTGTTTCATCAAAGGATTTACTTTACGAGATGATTGTTACGCCAATAGGTGTCGCTCCTTATGTCATTCAAGTTGGCTTTTCTCGTAGAGCCCCGTGTTTACGAGATAGCCAAGTCTCCAAACAATATAATTAATTGCACCCTTTCACAAGTCTTTTCCAAACAATATTATTTACAAACCACTAATTTACAACAATTCTTCACAAAAAGTTAGTAACAAACGTTAAAAAATGACAACAGTTTGTACTTTAACAACTAACACGAGTTTGTAACAGTGTTACTATCGAAGTGACGTTACAGACAATATACCAGTTTACCACTGTAAGATATTTCTATAATAAAGCTTACTATTCATACAAATTGAAACTGGTGCTCAACAGTTGTGTTGCCATCGAAGGATTCTTCTCGAATCTTTCATTTCCAGGATCATGCGACTTTATCGGCAGTATGTGAGTTTCGTTTCGTGGATCACGTTTAAAAACATCACCATTTTTTTTGTTAGGTTCTGGAAGTTTGGTGTTTAGTCCAGTAGTAAACAACAAAGGTTGTTCTAATCGTGGTTGATGTCTCATTACCAATGAGTCTCTGATATTCATTTGCCGTATGGTATATTTCTGGCTCAGTTCTTCAAAATACCTGACAGAAGTAAGTTTCATTGGTCAACTTCAGTAGAATTCTAGGTTTTATTCCGAACGTTGGAAAAAGTTCTTGTTTTTTTTTATTATCTGATGCTAGGAGTTATAAATGAATGGAAGTGTGTTGTTGTAAGTTTTACATCTCCACTTCTATAGATATTAAAAACATACTTTAAACTATCACTTCAACAGACAGAATTGGACATTGGCAGTTATTATATGCCATCATGTAACAGTGGAAATTAGCAAGAAACAACGAAAACGATGACATACATGAAGGAGCTAACTGGAGTATCAACAGTGAAACATGAGTAGGGGAGTATCAACAGTGAAACACGAGTAGGGGAGGGAGTATCAACAGTAAAACACGAGTAGGGGGAGGGAGTATCAACAGTAAAACACGAGTAGGAGAGAGTATCAACAGTGAAACACGAGTAGGGGGAGTATCAACAGTGAAACACGAGTAGTGGGAGTATCAACAGTGAAACACGAGTAGGGGAGGGAGAGAGCATGGGTGTATTGATATAAAAACTGCTTACACTGTATCATTATTGAGTTTTGTAGCAAAAGTAGTTTTGGTACCTGCCATCACTCGTGTTGCTGTTTCACAGACATTTCTGCCACCTTTAAACTGCCATCTGGTGGGGACACATGTAACCACTTTCCGGAAAGCTTTACGGAAGTTATCGGACAAGAAAGCGTACAAAATAGGGTTGACACAAGAATTCATGTAAGCTAGAATATGTGACACCACCTGGAAGACCACCCGTTCTGGACGAAGTTTCATTTGGTATTGATCCAAACTCTTCAGAAGCAAGACTATCTGAATGGGGAACCAGCAAACAGCAAAGATGACGACAACTACGACAACCATTCTGGTGATTCGCTTCTTGGACTTGTGGCTCTCGGCGCTAGCTTTACCTCCCAGACCCACATGGAACCACAACCTCTTCAACATTAACAAGTAAAGGCAGAAGATGAGCACGAGTGGAACCACGTAAGATGAGAGGAAGAAGGAGATCTGGTATGCTGGATAACTGAAACCTTCTTGCAGGAACACACACATAGAATACCTGTTTGATCCCACGTTGTAGGACACTTCTCCATGAGCAGACAGAGCAGGCAAGCACGCTAGCAGGATCAGAGACCACGTGACCGTGATGGCAATGTAGGCGTTCTTCTCAATGCGAATGGACATAGAGGTGATGGGGTGGACAACAGCCATAAAGCGATCCAGAGACATAAGAACGAGAGTATAGATACTAGCATAAGCACAAACGATCACCAAATACTGCACTATCCGGCACCAGATGTCGCCAAAAGGCCAGTAGGGCAACGCATAATCCCAAGCTGTAAAGGGTACACAGAAAATAATGAAGAGGAGGTCAGCCACTGCAAGGTTGATGATGAGCAAGTTGGTGGTAGACCGCATCGGAGGGTTGAAGATGACCACCACAACCACCAGAGAGTTGCCGATTAAGCCCACAATAACGATGATTCCAAAAAGAATGGGCACAACGATACCAACGATCCGCTCCAACTGACTACTCGTTACGCTCGCGAACGTGACATCACAGTCAGACAAGTTGGTTATGGTGGTGTTACACAATAGGGTTAACATTGAAGAGATAGTTACATCTGTTGTAAATCCAGTATCCACATATTCCGCTGAATCCAGGGCTTCCACCTGGATGTCTATATAATCCATAGCCATTCCACAAGTATATCAAGTTACAGCAGTCTTACAGCACCATTCATAACCGGTCTTGAAAACCAGAAAAGTTGAAGTTTTATTTTGATGACTCTTCTACTCTGAAATGTAATAAAATACCAAAATTAAAATGTTTTTACGTACTAACCGTACTGATGGAATTAAAAAAAAACACTGGTGCTGAAGTGAAACTAGCTATGCTTATAGCAGTTAACACAACAAGTTTGGATAGATAAAATCACTGTTAGTATAGTATGCAAGTAATAAAAAGATTTTGTGTATGTAAAATGATGTAGGGATGGCAGTGTCAAAAAAATGCAAAAATGAATATAAGGATAATACAGCTATACATAGATCATCCATACATGACTTTCAATATTAAAATTTAATATTACACTGTAAAATGTACAGGTACAAGATGGTTACGAGGTCGGTCAGTTCGACCAACCTCGTAGCGAGAGTTTGTAATAGCGTGTAATCATCAAGACATGTTTGACTCAACTTGGTTTTCCTTGTACATAATCCTAGGCTCTTAGTTACACTATATTGATGCCTACCATGGCATGACCATAATATTATGGTAAACAAACTATATACCAACAGTCAGGAATATATAACTTCCAACTGCATTAATATTAAAGTCAAGTATGCATTTCACAGTGTAACATTAAATTTTAATATTGAAAGTCATCTAGGGATGATCTATGCTTAACTGTATCATCCCTATATTCTTGTTTCCTTTCTTTTTCACACATTATTTAACAATTACAAAATGTGTTTTATTAATTGTTTTGTGACGTTTTTTACATTACTGAAAGTTAGTGTATTCTATGAATGTGTGTAATATAATTTAATATTATGTGTATTAATTTTTTACTCCTTTACTTCATACATAATATAGGTGTTGGCTCCCTAAGAACACCGGTTGTATAGTGTACAAAGCATTGAGTATTCTACATGTTACAGTCATCTAATGTTCATCTAATATTGGCTGGTAATTCCTGTTTCACTCTGTACTTAAGGAACACCACATTTCTGTAACAAAGCAAACTGCTAAATTCAACGGGTAATGATAACATCGTTTACACTAGAATTGCGATTTTTTTTTAATTGTTAGTAGTTATTACGACTAAGCGACGACATCTTGCACTTCCCAGAAATACATAGAGTAGATTTAAGTTTAAACTAACGTTAGTGATAAAGTAGTTGTAGAGTTATCTCAACTGAAACAACAACAAGAAAGATGAACAATTTGTTGGGTTGGTCACTTTCTGGTTTAGTATCTTAGCGATGGTTTCTTGACTTGTTTTGGGGCTTGTTAGGTAGAGAAACGAATGAAAGTGAGTGGCAATCATCTTTTAAAAACTATGTGTCACTGTTGATTTTCAGCGTGCATATTTGTATTATGCCTACTGTGTACCTTGGTCATCCCTACATATATAGTCTACCGACTCTATGACAAAATTAAGTCAGTACATGTAACATTGGTGGTCTTTACTTCTATAGTTGATCAACTACTTACTAATACTGAGCACTAAACACTTTTCAATAAATCTTTAAGTGGTATAACACCCTCTTGTCTAAAACTAATTAGATTTCACCCACGGTTTTAAATATGGCGAAATAAAAGCGGGAATTGAATAAAACAATTACAAATGTAACCATTAAATATATACTAGTGGAGAGGTTAAGATACTACTAAATACAGGTATATACTAGTGGAGAGGTTAAAATACTATTAAATACAGGTATATACTAGTGGAGAGGTTAAGATACCACTAAATACAGGTGTATACTAGTGGAGAGGTTAAGATACTACTAAATACAGGTGTATACTAGTGGAAAGGTTAAGATACTACTAAATACAGGTATATACTAGTGGAGAGGTTAAGATACTACTAAATACAGGTATATACTAGTGGAGAGGTTAAGATACTACTAAATACAGGTATATACTAGTGGAGAGGTTAAGATACTACTAAATACAAGTATATACTAATGGAGAGGTTAAGATACTACTAAATACAAGTGTATACTAGTGGAGAGGTTAAGATACTACTAAATACAGGTACATACTAGTGGAGAGGTTAAGATACTACTAAATACAGGTATATACTAGTGGAGAGGTTAAGATACTACTAAATACAAGTGTATACTAGTGGAAACGTTAAAATACTACTAAATACAGGTGTATACTAGTGGAGAGGTTAAGATACTACTAAATACAGGTATATACTATAAACATTTATTTAGTTCAGCCTGATAACGGTTACAACAGGGTATAGACCTACTATAAACTTGTATTTAGTTCAGCCTGATAACGGGTACAACACAGTATAGATCTACTATAAACTTGTATTTAGTTCAGCCTGATAACGGCTACAACACAGTATAGATCTACTATAAACTTGTATTTAGTTCAGCCTGATAACGGTTACAACACAGTATAGACCTACTATAAACTTGTATCTAGTTCAGCCTGATAACGGCTACAACAGAGTATAGATCTACTATAAACTTATATTTAGTTCAACCTGATAACGGCTACAACACAGTATAGATCTACTATAAACTTGTATTTAGTTCAGCCTGATAACGGGTACAACACAGTATAGATCTACTATAAACTTGTATTTAGTTCAGCCTAATAACGGCTACAACACAGTATAGACCTACTACAAACATGTATTTAGTTCAGCCTGGTAACAGTTACAACAGAGTATAGATCTACTATAAACTTGTATTTAGTTCAGCCTGATAACGGGTACAACACAGTGTTTTTAGGGTTACTGGTGTCCTTGTTTTGTTTTTCTGCTGACAGTGTTTTTAGGGTTACTGGTGTTCGTGTCTTCTTTTTCTGCTGACAGTGTTTTTAGGGTTAGTGGTGTCCATGTCTTCTTTTTCTGCTGACAGTGTTTTTAGGGTTACTGGTGTCCGTGTCCAACTTGTCCAGTTAGACTACGTTCTCTTCACTCTGGATAAAAACTTTGACAGTCAATAAATAGGTTTCACTCTATGTTTAAATTTATTCTCTACAAGCTTTCGGCTATACTCTGTTGTAACCGTTATCAGGCTGAACTAAATACAAGTTTATAGTCGGTCTATACTGTGTTGTAGCCGTTATTAGGCTGAACTAAATACAAGTTTATAGTAAATCTATACTCTGTTGTAACCGTTATCAGGCTGAACTAAATACATGTTTATAGTAGATCTATACTGTGTTGTAACCGTTATCAGGCTGAACTAAATACATGTTTATAGTAGGCCTATACTGTGTTGTAGCCGTTATCAGGCTGAACTAGATACAAGTTTATAGTAGGTCTATACTGTGTTGTAACCGTTATCAGGCTGAACTAAATACAAGTTTATAGTAGGCCTATACTGTGTTGTAGCCGTTATCAGGCTGAACTAGATACAAGTTTATAGTAGGTCTATACTGTGTTGTAACCGTTATCAGGCTGAACTAAATCCAAGTTTATAGTAGATCTATACTCTGTTGTAACCGTTATCAGGCTGAACTAAATACATGTTTATAGTAGATCTATACTGTGTTGTAGCCGTTATCAGGCTGAACTAAATACAAGTTTATAGTAGATCTATACTGTGTTGTAACCGTTATTAGGCTGAACTAAATACAAGTTTATAGTAGATCTATACTGTATCAGCAGAAAAAGAAGACATGTACACCAGTAACCCTAAAAACACTGTCAGCAGAAAAAGAAGACATGTACACTAGTAACCCTAAAAACACTGTCAGCATAAAAAGAAGACACGAACACCAGTAACCCTAAAAACACTGTAAGCAGAAAAAGAAGACACGAACACCAGTAACCCTAAAAACACTGTCAGCAGAAAAAGAAGACATGTACACTAGTAACCCTAAAAACACTGTCAGCATAAAACAAAACAAGGACACCAGTAACCCTAAAAACCCTGTCAGCAGAAAAACAAAAGGACACCAGTAACCCTAAAAAAAGCTACTAGCTTCAGATTTAGAAAGAAGGTAATACACAAACAGCTGCTGATAGAATTTAAAACATTAATACAGAACTGAAAAACTAGAACTCGTAAGTATTCAGAAGGAAGAACTGTACAAACAATGATACAAAATCCAGAAAATCCAAAGCTGCAGTAGTGAGAAGGAAGGTCACATGAAAATCGGAAATCCAAAGCTGCAGTAGTGAGAAGGAAGGCCACATGAAGATAGGAAACCCAAAGCTGCAGTAGTGTGAAGGAAGGTCACATGAAGATCGGAAATCCAAAGCTGCAGTAGTGTGAAGGAAGTCCACATGAAGATAGGAAACCCAAAGCTGCAGTAGTGTGA